AGTGCAGGCAGGCGTAAAGAAAAGAAAAGGCAAGGAAGCTAGATCTCTTGCTGCAGTGATGGCAGCCTGACGTCACCCCTTATCGCGCCCCCCGGACACCCCCAGATCTCGATCTGACCCTGCCCTTTCTAAAGATTCGATGAAGAGCACAACCCAGCCGCTCCCTGAGCCTCCCTCCCCTCCCTCCCTCCGTTCTCCTCTGGTCATGGACTACGACCGCAACGACGCCCTCCTCCACTGGCTCTTCCGCCAGACTCAGGGCGACGCCTGGTTCCGCCCCAACGAAGAGAACATATCCTCTGGCGTAGCCCTCAGAGTAAACGACGGTCCGTCTGTCCCCCAGCTGCCTTGCCTATCCCGGCAAACGGTGTTCTAACCACTGCTGCTTTTTGCGTTTGGGAATAGGCGCGACCAATGCTGGCTTCCCCGAGTTCCGCGTCTTTCCCTACGAGAACGCCTCCCTCGAGCCCTTCGAGACAGCCGTGTCCGCGCTCAACCCCGTCGTCGCAATCAAAGTGCGCTCTGCCGCCGTACACGCCGCACTCGCTGATGTGTGAGTCCTTTCCTCCCCCGGTGTTCTTGCTCTCCCCTTTCGACGGTTTCGTTCGTCCCTTTCTCTTTTGGTCGATCGACGTGCGCCTATTCCACGTGTCGCCATGCGCATATACACGCATGCATCCATGCTGAGCGCACCACCTGCGCGTGCGCATCTTTTCTTGTTCTTTCGTTCCTAATCTTTTCTTTTCTCCCGTTCTACGTGCACCGTCGTCCGCTCCCCCCTGTGCACCCGCCCTCCGCCTCCGCCTCCGTGTCTCCTTATCCGTCGTCGTTCATCTTCGTGGTGGCATTGTTCGTTCCTCGAGGCGCCTGGAAACTCTTTCCTACCCTCTTATCTTCTCTCCTCTTCACTTTTTCTGTCTTTTGCTTCCGCTCTTTCTCTCCTGTCTTGCTCCTGTGGCTCCTCGTTCCCTCTCTTCCCTCTTGATCCTTTTTCGGAAGGCATTGTCCCCCGCCTATCAATAATAATATCCCGCCAATCGGAGGCGCTGGTATACCTCCCGCCACGCCACGCCACGCCAGGGTGCTAATTCCTCCGTTAATTTACCGTGTAGTCCGGTGCCTGGGAATCCAGCGTCGGGCGCACGTCGGGCCGGGCGTCGTTGGCTCCTTTCCTTTCCTCTCGTTTTCCTTGCCTCTTATCCTGACTCTCTCGTTTTCCTGCCCTTTTTTATTCCTTTGCAAGAGGGAACGAGGAGACGCTGGCGCGCCAACAGGCGATCGCTCTCGTTATCTCCTACGAGAGAGATAACGAGATCCCCCTCCCCTTGTT